CCCCCCCCCCCCCCCCCCCCCCAATTACAGTGTTTACTGACATTGCAGGTACCAAAGTGAGACGTTCAATGAATTAAAAAAAGAAGTTATTTTTAAATATATTCGATAATGTTCTCAAAATATTTTGTCTGAAGGAAGTTAATTTAAGAAAATTTTCTCAAAATGCTCTTCCATGATAAGTGGTAAAAGTATAAAAACTGGACACTTCTGGTCAGCTTCTTGAAATATGAGTTGGTCGGCCTACTAATGCTACCACTTCGATGAAAGAATATATTTTGACTTGAGCCAGTTCCTTTTCCTCGTGATATCATATATACAGAATTCGTATAAGCAAATATATTAATTAACAAGTACACTAAAATTTCATTATAAAATATGAAAGAATTTAACGTGTGGAAAACAAGAATGACAAAGAAATCATTGAATAAGTTTTCTTGTCCATGTTTAATACTAAAAATCACTATAATATATTATTGCAAGAATATAAAAATTCTCTTGATGACCACCTTTGCAATCGCATGATATCTCTCAAGTATTTCAAGATAGAGAGTCTATAGTTTTTCGACGCTTACGTTTTGAAACAATTGTGAGCACATTAAGAAACGTGATTCCTTCCTAACACGTCCATTATCAATCAAAAGAAAAATTCAAAGATTCTCTCGATCATGGTGTTTATCTATTGTCATGTCTAATCTTTATCCAGTACAACTGAAGTCATTTTGCTCAATCTGGATCAATGAAAAACAGAATTACAAGGATCTATAAGCTTACCGTTTTGGTTCGATAGGCTTAGCAGCAGAATAGAGTATACAACTGTTAATCTTGAAAAAGGGCAGCCTAGTATCAAAAGTACATTGGAAAGACGGTATATTTTGGGTCAAGAATTCAAATTAGAAACCAAACATCAAGTCCATAACCTTCGAGACCATCGATTTGGCAGGTGTGACAATGGTACCAGCAGATTCCTGGCCACCAGAACTGCTATTCTGGGCATAGTATGGATGAGGGCGCACTTCTAAACCATTTGATGTCGAGTTTCCATATGATGGTGCAGGGGGTAATGGCATAAATCCTTGATATCCTTGATTGCTAAGCCTCTCGTTTAAAGCCCGTCGTTCCATTGGATCCACAGGCTTGACTCCAATAATAAGCACTCCTTTTATTTCCATGCCATTTTTGCTGAGTGCTTTACGAGCATCGAATCGATTCTACACCAACAATTTAGTAAGCAAATTAACAGAACGTCAACATTCACATGTCAAGGTTATAACCAATATAAGCAACGGGAATGAAATAAGGCCAGTTGAAGTAAAATCATTCTGTTTTTGCTTGTCATGTTAACTGACATATTTGCAAGAAAACACTATATATAAGTCAACCACATTATGGATGCTTATTTCTTAACATCACCAATAACTCGACATGAGCCGTCATACACGGTTTAATATAAATATGAAGCATCTAAAAACATACAATTAGGTCCCAAAATTTGAAGAGGAAAATACTACACACACTTCAAATTTCAACATGCAATACAAATTATAAGTGCAGTTTGGCAAACAGAATTTCAACATCCAGCCAATTAACTGAAGCCAAACACAACTACTTGAGCAGATAATCAAGTGGTAGATTAAGAATCTTTAGAAATAATCAAATCAAGCAAACACAAGAAGCATATTGATTTCTCTCTCTACATCCGTATCATATTGCAGATACATTCCTATTCCCAGTAATGAGGCAAGACCTAGACAGCGGTACGTTGACTATTTTAAATGCATCATCGCTACCTAGATGAAAATCTGGCACCGAGACGAGCATTTGGATCCATTATTTTCTTTGATATTTTCCCACTGCAACTATTTCAAACAAGATTGAATCTGAATTTGTGTAGCTAATGTACCAAATTGGAGAATATTCCATAAAGTCCTACATTAATGATATGAATGTTCTTTATTCATCAAACAAAATCGGTCAAATGGGCTAAAAATATATGATGAGAAAATTACTATAATACATATTTCAATAGGAAGTATTCTTTGAGGAAAAAAAGTCATTATTTCATGGTGCAAAAATATAAACAGCAAATCTATCTGAACAGTGGCATTAGGAGAATGCATTACAAGATATGTAACTCAGCCAATGTGTGGCTATAGTTTCTTAAGTGTACATAATTGATTAAACCACTTCTTATCCACATTTCGTGGGACCCATAAGTAGTACCCATTTATCCATCACTTATTTCTACTTGTTTATAATTTAAATGGTTTATAACCACTTCCCAAACATGCGCTCAGTGCTTTGTGCCAAACGAACATCCAGGTCTCACCACAGCCCAATTCCCCCACCCAAAAAGAAAAGCAAAGATAACAACATGAAAGATAAAACACCAATGTTCCTACCTACAGAGGTTAAAGGACTGACATGTCAACATGGAAGGTTTAATAATTCTAAAAATCCATCCATGACTACAAGATGATTTTCCTCAAAAGGTGATCTATGTCTCTCTGCCTAACATAATAACTAAAATCAGTAGATAAGTCGCCAAATTGATGTGATCTATTTATAAGAACCACTTCAACAAGGAAAGGAGGAAACCATTGGGCTTAGTAAAGTTAACCCAAGTGTTCCTCATCCACAAAGAAAATAGTCTGACCAATAAGAAAAAATTTATCTTTGAAAGCCTTTATTGTCATTTTATACACATGCCAAGTATCACAAACAAATTGTGTAAAGGATTCATATAACGGTGAATCTGAACTAGACAACAAAATAAAGTTAGGTTGCAGTAGTAGTAAAAGAACCTGATACAGAACGTGCATCCAATTAGCTTCTCTTGGGCCAGGAACATGTTTCAGAATCACACCACATTTTTCAAACTCCCGCAAAACTAGATTAGTATCAGCTGGTGAAAATCTGGAGATTTTCAAACATAAACATAAATTTAGATGCTAACAAGTTGTGAGAGGTTGTCGTTGAAACTTTGAAAGAGATGAAGAAAGAAATTAAAAGGCATATTGCAAAGCACATCAGCAGTCACAAAAAATTTACAATCAAATATATGAAACAGAACACAAGATGCTGGCAAAATTTACCAAGAGTCAGCATCATCAGTTCTACAAAACATAGAACTGAGTTCATATTATAGTTAAATACTAAAAACTGTGCAGGAGAAAAGTAAATATAATCTAAATTCAATATAAAACTAAAAACAGAAAGAGACTTGACAAAGCATACCCATAGACAGTGACCCATTCCTCCTCGTCAAGGTTCTCCATGGGCACCAAACTCTTCTTCATTTCCGGTCTAGCAACCTCCCTCGGGGGTGGCAATGTTATCAAGGCACCAGGTTGGATCACACCTTCAACTGGAGAACTCTTTCCTTTATCATCTTGCTCTGTATTACTTACAAATTTCACAGGGGACCACCAGCTCGAACTCACAACGGGGCTCTGCTGCTGCTTACCAACAATGCCATATGAAGTACTTGAATCAGGCTTACTCCTAGGAGTTGAAAAGTCCCTAACTGAACTCTGCACAGGGGTTATAGGATCTGATTTCAATTCTGGAGACATCATATAGTCCGAAATCCCCAATTCAGGAGAAAAATTAGACCGGTCTTCAAGAGTAAAAACTGGCGGAGGCGGAAGATCAGAGTTTGCTAAATTTTCACGCCTTAGAGCCGAAACAGCTGCTACCTGACCCGGAGTCGTGAATTTTCCCTCAGATCTTTGAGAAGATACAGGGGTTGCTAAATCTTGGAAGAACTGGTATTGCCTTCCAGATTTGGGGGTCCGGTGGACTGAAGCGCTCATCTCTCTTTATGGTTCTCTACCACAATGAAAGAAAAATCAGAGACAACACAAAACCAGAGATTCACAATACATATACATATAAAAACCAACCCTCAAATTATGCATCTAGCTATCTCTTTGGACGTAATCGTGTGAAAGCTATATGCATGAATGTAGAAATTCTAACCATATGTATATATACATAAAATTGAACTATTTCTCAATTCCAATTAGAGTGCACCATGTTTTATCTTTCTAAAGGCTATCGAATTACATATTCACTTAAATCTACTTGAGATGTACGCAGACAAACATAAAGATTAACTCATGTTACGTTTTTATTCATGTAAATTTACCCAAAGTACTCGTTCAAGTTCAGAAAAATATTGTACACGCACCTAACATATATTCAACATAAACCCTAATATGCGCTCAAGTAAGGACAGTGCCATAAAACAACTGCAAAAGTTACAATCGATAAGAACTTAAGCAGAAGAAAAGCTCATTGAACTGAATTTCAATCAATACAGAAAACTTTTGCTCGAAATTTTGCAGTAAAGGAAGTAATTCACCCAAATAAGAAAATTTCAAGAATTAAATTAAAAGAGTACCTGAATGTGGATTTAAAGATGTGAGAAATCAGATAATAGCTTCTATTTGCGAGGGTTTTCGAATATTTGTCCCCCAAAACCTCAGAAAGCAAAAGTGTATCAAGCAAATAAAAACCCTAATGCTTTTGATCCATGTCAATTCAAATGAAGATATCCGCACATCACGAAATTTTGAAATTCTGTTTAATGACTTAAATGTCCTCCACCTTCTTCAGTTTACTAATTGACTTTCTCACCGTTTCAAGGATGGTCTCGTCTTTCCACGTTTTAATCAATTTGGCCCTGCCATCCTCGAAACGTTTGCACATTTGATCCCAATCTATTGTTGAGTAACAAATTGATCCAAAATTATAAAAATTAACTTGTTGATCCTCAAGTTACAGAATCATTCTTTATGGACGGAAATGGAAACCGTCTAAATCTTGATTCTATCATTTACGTTATACATAGCCTTCATGAGTCCAACATGATGGAGTTGGATTTTACTTTATTTGAAGTTAGATATAACAATTAACATAATAAGCCCATGTTTGATGGTCATTATTGAGAAAAAAAATGATGTTTTGAATAGTGATTTGTTGGAGAATGTGTGGTTAAAAAGTAGAAAAAAAAAGTTTAGATTTACGTACAAAATATTTGGTTGTGTGAATGTATGATTGAAAATGAGTATAAAAATCAAAGATTTTTAAGGGGAGACAAACAATGGCTAAATTTCGTTACAGGTATCTCTTAGCCTTCAACATTCGTGTTTCAGTTTTATGAAATTGCATTTTATTGAATTTGAATGAGGTAACTGTATTACCTCAAAACTACTTAGAAGCCACAAAAGCACCACCTAGGAAGCATGAGCCATGTGTGGCTAGGTTGTCTTACCCGCATACCTCGTTCAAGGCAATACCATTTCATCTCATTCAGTCAAGCCCACACCCTGCAAAAGCTCGTATAGCCTCGTGATTTGTTGGGGGAACCATAATAAGGCTTTACAAGTGGAGGGATAGTTAGCGAAGCACTTTACCTTTGGTACTTTATAATAATAGGGACTCTATCATGTATATTAGGCGGATTTATTCTACAAGCAAACTATTTTATCAATTCCTATATATCCCCTTAGAATTATTGAGATCAAGGAAGATCCAGAGAATAACATCAAAAATGCTAATTTAGTTTAACAAGGAAATAACTTGATTGAAAGTGATAATTCCCTAGCCAATGACACGTATGACTTGGAGTTGTAACATCTTAACCTAATGCTAGACGGATTCTCACCTATAAATATCCATGCACAAGTAAAGGCAAATGAACGCAATTTTCTAAACTAATAACCAAATTTTGCCATTTTCCTACAATTGTAATCATGGTCTAACTGTTTGTATCCAAATGTACCAAGTAAATATATAGATAGATAGGGACATGACAAGAAACATGTGATTTTTTGTAAACTTTGTTACGCTTCGCCACCTGGCACCCCACTTGGCCAACCCACAGAAACCCCTTTACCGAAGCCACGTGCAGTGCTTAGGACCTACCAAAGTCCACAAAATTTAGAGCACCAAAGCCCACTTTCTCCTAAACGGTCCCATGTGAATGGCCCTGTCGAAACCTCTTTGTCGAAGTTAAATTCGAGGTTCTACCAAAATGGTGAGGCTCAATGAAGTCAAATTCGAAACTCCACCAAGACGTGTGATGACTCGCATTTGAAGATCCTAAATTCATGAAATCTTGTTGAAATGATTGATTTGACCCTTATAATCAGTAATATGTCGAAATCTTGTCAACGCGGGTTGTAGGATGGCTGCCCTTTTTTTGGAAACAAAAGAGATGAGGCCACATGTCCATCATCCAATTGTCGCCATTTTACATTGAACACTATAAATAGGTTAACTTTTGTGTCATTTGGAGGTAATTCTAATACTTCAATTATATGTTATATATTCTCTCATTTTGAGTTTACTCTTTGGTTGTTAAAATTAGATGTTTGGTCTTGATCTTTAGTTTAGTTTTTGTTGATCATTCATTATCATGCAATTTTGCTCATATATCTTGTCAATGCTGAACATACACGTTCAAATCCAACATATCGTCGATTAGTAATCTGTCCATACATATTGGAATTAGCTTGTATGAATACGAGTGGGCTTAGTATCTGTTGTCCACATCGGTGGATCAAAAAAGGGGGTCAACAAGTTAGCGTCGTCTGTGAAAAACGTCACTACAACCACGAACATTCTCATGGAAGAAGTTTGCCTGAAAGTTGCTGGGCATCTCCCTTGAAAATGATTTGTTCTTAAAAAAAAAACAAGTGGAAGCCCGAAAGTTGGGAAAAATTGATAATTTGGTCAAGAAAAAATGAGTTCAGATCCCTCCCAAGAGAGTGAGTAAAAATCCTAATGAAGAGGTTCCACAAGCAACAGTCCAAGTGGGTCAACGCCGACCCACCACCATCATTGGCAAGGTGGGATAAGGGCAGTTGCTTAACTCACCCTGGAGATAGTAACCACGGCAGCTAAAATTAGAAATATCACCCACTAAAACAGTCTTTTCTAGAGTGATGTACATAATCAGGACCCCACCAGCTACGATGCTCTGCTAAAAATTATGAGACGTGAGATCATCGAGGAGGAGTTGATTAATCACAGAGACAGCATGCTAGAGGACTCACCTCTAATCTAATGGACCACAAATAAAATCAGTTGGTAATGAAATCATTCCCAATTCTGGGCAGACACATACCACAGTCACATGGAATACAATACACATGCTGGCTTACGAAAATGTAACCCCCAAAACTAAGATACGGCAAACTAGGTCCAAACAACAAGTCCCTCAAAGAGGAAAAGGCTAAGGGCGACAGAAGGTCGAACACCCTTCAGTATTGTAACTATCAACATTCCTACAACCATGACACTGTAGACTGTAAAGACATAGCCCAACACCCTAGGCAGATGGATCCTTGGGACGATAGAAAAAATGATCACCCCCTAGGAATATGTCCCCGCCTAGACAGGACCAAAGACCTAGGCGTGAAGAGGTTAGACCCCCCGTTGGGAGCCATTCCCATGACAGATGAGGAAGCATGATAAAGAAATACCTAGGGAGGGACAACGACAGCTTGAGAACTTTCCGATTAATATAGAAGACGCTCATATCCACGAAATAGATATGATTTTTAGAGGACCCTATATTGGGGCAACACAAAGAATTCCCAAAGGAATTATGTTAGAAAGGCCAAGGCCCCCTAATAACTAACTATGTAATAGATGGTAGTTCTCGAAGAAGGTAACTACCACCCATTGCCTTCATCCAGGAAGATGTTGAGGGCCTACACTTCCTTCATTAAGACTCCCTCGTGCTAAGGGCTGTTGTGCCTCGTAATGGATTAAAACAGATGCTAATAGATAATGGTAGATCTGTCGCATCATCTTTGGAGCCACTTTTGACCATATGATCGTCGATCACGGATTAACTCACCTCACCACCCTTTGTACAGTTTCACCGACAATAGCATCATCCCAGTGAGAAAAATAACTCTTGCAGTGAAAATAGGAGAGCCACCCTAGATAGCTCTAATCTTCATGCAATTCTTGGTAATGGATAATGGGTCAACTTACCGTTAGGTGCTAGGTAGACCCATCCTAAAAGACGTATCGGCCGTCACCTCAATTCATCACATATGCATGAAATTTCCAAGTGAACATGGGATTGCCACAGTTAGGGATGACCAAAGAGAAGCGTGGGAATGCTACCTAAACTCGATAAAAAAGGCAATATGGTGATAATGGATGTGGACATGGTAGATGCCCCCAAGATGACAAAGTTTCGAGTAGGAAGACGTCGAGATGATGGATGTCCCCGAGCAAGGGGTCATGCTCGATGAGTTGGACCATCGTATTATCGAGTCTGAATCCCAACCAGTCCCATTGGAGGAGCTAGAAATTTTTTCAATGGACCCTCAAGACCCCATCAAGTCATTGCAAGTGGGAAAGAGCTTGCTATCGGAGGCCAAAGCTTTCTCAATGACTTTTTGTGTAGAAATCTTGATGTCTTTGCATGGAGGCATGAGGACATGGTAGATATTGATCCCAAAGTTAGCTATCACTACCTAACAATTGATCATATTGCTGCCCCGCGTAGACAAAAAGAATGGTCCTCAACTCGGAGAGATCTAAGGCCCTAAACGATAATGTGTAAAAGCTAATAAAGAATGGCTTCATCAGACAAGCCATTTACCTGAAATGAGTTGGACTTCTTCTATTACTTAGGAAAATAAAACAATCAGCAAAAGCATACCATTTCCCAACTCACAATATGGCCTCTCCATGAATGGCTTCATAAGGGAGACCATTTACCTTAAATAAGTTGGATTCTTCCTATTACTTAGGAAATTAAAGTAATCAACAAAAGCAAACCATT